CAATAACCAGTGTGATGATCTCGGTTCCAACCTTGTAGATCCTCCATCAACTCCAATAACCAGTGTGATGATCTCGGTTCCAACCTTGTAGATCCTCCATCAACTGTACCCTCTCTCTAAACTTCTGACATAGTGAAAATAACTCGGTTCCAACCTTGTAGATCCTCCATCAACTGTACCCTCTCTCTAAACTTCTGACATAGTGAAAATAACATCAAAAGGAATGAAAAAGATGGAAAATCCACTAACAAGAGAAGGTTTCCGAAAGTAGCAGAAAGGATGTAGGATGGTCTGTGGCTGAGTTTTAGAAGACCATAAAAGGATGTAGGATGGTCTGTGGCTGAGTTTTAGAAGACCATACATCTTATAAACTTTGTTGTTTATTTCAGTTTGTTAATCATACATTCTGGCTGAGTTTTAGAAGACCATACATCTTATAAACTTTGTTGTTTATTTCAGTTTGTTAATCATACATTCTGTATGTTGTTTGTGTTGTTTTGACTGCATGTGTGGTTCGCCAAGTATTGCATATGTTCTTGTATTGCACTACTTAAATAATTTTAGGCTTTGTATTTGACTTGCGGAGTTATGTAATAGATTGTTTATTTAGTATGGGGTTTGAAATTTGAGCTCGTTATCTATTCCGTAGTTAAAAAATTGGATCTGACTATTACTTTTTTCTGCTTTGTCACTACTTGTCCATCTCTGTGCAGCACTAATCCCATTGTTGTGTTGCATGTACTCACTTCTTGGTTGTTTAATCGGATCCTATAGGATCAGTTTGGTGATCTTCTAACAACTTGGCCGGGACCAATCCTTACCCAGTTTTAAGAAGAAATGGTTGTGTGTTGCATTGTTGTGTATTACATTACTCCTGATCCTGGAGCTGGTTATTTTGTTAATTCACTTTGATTCCTCCTTTGGCTGGGTATGTCTCCCTACAACAAGTTGACCATGGTTATGTATGCTTAGTACAAACTTTTTTAAGCATGTCAATATTTTATTTCAGTCCTAAATATTGATTTGTTTGCGGCTTGTAAAAATAATAGGGTTCTTAGTATATATGGGAATTGTCTAATTTTTTCATTTTTCATGAGGTAATTATTTATAAATCTTCAATAAGGGCGAAAGTGGTATTTTTTTAAAAAACAATGAGATTAATCTCCTTAACCCCTCTTCATTTGCCAAACACAAAAGACTTAGAGCATCTCCAACAATGATCCTAGCTTTTCCCTATATTTAAGGAGCAAATATCACATCCTAGAAAATAGGGAGTCAAATAAGGAGCAAGTGCTCCAACAATGCTCCCCAAAAGGCTCCCTAAATAGTTTTGAACATTTTTCACTTACCTCATTTTGTAATAAATAATTGTAACAACTATATTATAACGGCTATATTCTAACGACTAAATTGTAACGGCTATATCATAACGGCTATATGACCTCTATAAATAACATCATATGCACTCTCATTTTTCACTCAACTCAAATTGTGTTTATTGTTAGCATCATTTTTTCAATATCATCTATGTCTCATAATAGCTGCGCTCCTCATGGAAGAAGAAGCTGACGAGGAATACACAATGTTCTTAGGAATGACCGCCGTTGAAGAGGAGCGGGTGGCTAACGAGAGGATTGCATCGTGCCGTCTTGGTTCCGTTCGAGGCCATGTTGTCATTCAACGCGATAGAGTTCAAGGTCATAATAGACTTTATCATGACTATTTCGTTGAGGAGCCCGTTTATGGTCCACGACTATTTCGAAGGCGGTTTCGAATGTATCGTCCACTTTTTCTCCGAATTGCATCCGCGGTGGAAGATTTTGATCCTTACTTTGTCCAAAGAAGGAATGCTGCAGGTAATCTTGGTTTATCATCCCTTCAAAAAATAACAGCCACAATGCGGACGCTTGCTTATGGAGTATTTGCAGATTTTGTGGATGATTACGTGCGGATTGGTGAAAGCACAACTATTAAAAGTGCTAAAAGGTTTCTCAAGGTCGTTGTTGTAATTTTCACTGATGAGTATTTGAGGTCACCAAACAACGACGATATCAGAAGATTGCTAGAGATTGGCGAACAACGCGGATTTCCTGGAATGTTAGGGAGCATAGACTGTATGCATTGGAGATGGAAGAATTGTCCGGCTACGTGGCATGGGATGTATGCTAGTCACGTCCATGAGCCAACAATTATTTTGGAAGCCGTTGCGTCATATGATCTTTGGATATGGCATGCATTTTTTGGGTTACCAGGATCTCATAATGATATTAACATCTTGGAAAGGTCAAATCTCTTTACTGAACTTACTGAAGGTCGTGCCCCTCCAGTTAAATACTCTATTAATTCTCATGAGTATACGATGGGATATTACCTTGTTGATGGTATATACCCACAATGGTCAACATTTGTAAAAACAATTTTTGCTCCACAAGAAAATAAGAGGAAAAATTTTGCACAAGCTCAAGAATTAGCAAGAAAGGATGTAGAGCGAGCATTTGGGGTCCTCCAAGCACGTTTTGCAATTGTGCATGGACCAGCGTGATTTTGGGATCAAGAAGTACTGAAAGATATTATGAAAGCATGTATCATAATGCATAATATGATCATTGAAGACGAGCGAGATATTAATCAATTATGAAAGCATGTATCATAATGCATAATATGATCATTGAAGACGAGCGAGATATTAATCAATGCGATTTCAACTATGATGCAATCGGATATTAATCAATGCGATTTCAACTATGATGCAATCGATGAAAGTCCAACTATATCATTGTCTCGTGAGAGGACACCACAATTTCTTGAATTTATTCAAGCCCACCATCACATTAGAGACATACAAACACATTCTCAGCTTCAGGCAGATCTTATCGAGCATTTGTGGCAACGACATGGTGGAGACTAGGAAGCATTGTGTGTTTTCAATATTATTATTGTATTTTCCATCTAGATTTGTGTTTGCAGCTTTATTATTGTATTTTCTATTATTGTACTATGCTATTGTATTTTTTGTCAAGGCTTTATGTAGATTTGTGTTTGCAATCAATGATATGTCCAAAAAATAACAAAAATGATAACATAAATTTTTTTAATTCAATCACACATAATAACATAAGCTTAATTACTGAAAATGATACATAACAACATAAAAACACACATAGTGAAAATAGCACAGCTTATAACATAATACTTATTAAACAATGACAACTAATTAAAACTACCATCAATTCCTTTAGCAATGATTCACATAACATAATACTTATTAAACAATGACAACTAATTAAAACTACCATCAATTCCTTTAGCAATGATTCACATCTTGAGTTGTTTGTAATATTCTGCTTGCATTGGATCCATGTTACCAGTATCAATTGACATGATTCTTTCATCTTCTCTTTGTTGTTCCAATCGAAGTTTTTCTTTCTTAATAAGAATCTTCTCTTGCTCTTGAGCATATATTCTGTCAAGTTGTTCTTGTCTCTTCTGATTGTTCACATCAAGCTTTTCAACGAACTCTTCAAATTTCAATGCCATAGGCATACTCGTATCAATTGCACGTTTTCCCTTTCCCTTTCTTAACAGTTCCTTTGTAGCTTTTCTTCCTATTGGTCTTTCCTATCCTTCGGAAAAGGTATCACGAGCAATATCATCTTCTCCCAAATTTATTGTATCCGGACTTGAAGAAATGGAACTTGCAGTACTAGAACTTGCAGGACCAGATTTGTTTGGAGTTTTAGATTTTTTTTAGAACTATCAATTCTTCACTTTGGTGCATCTTTTAATTCTCTCCAACAATGAAGAAATTAAAATGGATGCTTTTGGATGCTCGTGTACAATTCCACTACTTGACATACTTATTTAGAAATTAAGCCTACTTAAAAATTATTATACATAAATAAGATATTAAAAATTTGGAATGAAATTAATACCTTATCGCTCTCACTAAGACCACTTTGTTGCCTTGTTGAAATTTGAGCATAGTAGCCACAAAATTTATTTACAGAAAGTTGAATTAACAACCAACGCTTCATTAAAGAACTTGCCGTCCGTTGAGATTCACAATTCTTGAATTGATAGAAGTAACCATGCACCCTTTGCTAATATCTTTCATTTTTTGATTGATCCCTTGCACTGCATCCATGCTTATGTTGAGCCAAGTGGATACAATAGAATGTCTTCTTTCACGGTGACGTTTTTCGTCCGTCCGATTTTTCTAGAAAATTTATTTTCAGTTGACTCAACCGGCATGACAGATTGATTGGGATTTTCATCTAGTAGACCACTATCAGACAACGATCCCTCATTTAGTAGAGAAGTGTAATAATCCATCTGTCAAAAAATAATACAAATTAATGTCAACACTATAATTAGTTTAAAAAAAATAAAAATGAAATGAAAACTAATAAATCAGTTGTAAGTATAAAATATGAGAGAAATAAAATAATTAAGAGATGAACTAATTTACTTACCTTTAAAGAAAAATAGTAGAATGCCAAGTGCTTTTAAATTATGAGATGAACTAATATATCCTATACAAAGATGCAATATATATAGATGAAAGGAGAATAAGAGGGGCTTGAATGCAAATATAACCGTTGCATTTTGCAAAGTACATAATAGATATAGGGAGTGTCTCTTCTTGTCTTTAATTTGGAAGATACTCTCAAGGACCCTATATTTGGAATATGGGATAGAGAGCTTGTTGGAGCCAATTATTCACATCCTTCTTCCTAAATTTGAGCTAGGACATGAGATAATGAGCCTCTTGGAGTTGCTCTTAATCCCTTGTCTTAACTATCATATCCAAACGGGTTTAAAATTTTTTTAACCCTTCACGATGGATAAACTAAGTTAACCATTCTCTTTAATCTCTCTTCCCTAACCATTTACCAAACTGAGTCAGCTTTCTATGATTTTGGGTTCGATTCCGTAGGTAAAATAATTAAAATAAAAACTGTGAAATATGGAGGGTATGTACGGAAAGCACTCATCTACCGATTTTGACTAATTAAGAGAGAGAGAGAGAAAGCGGGGGTGTCCTTTTACCTCCGCTTTCCTTCTGCTTCCTCAGATTCCAAAATCCCTGACCTCAAATACCACGAAGTCAATCACGATTTAGGGTTTAAATTTAGATCAACATCCCTCTTCGAATTCGTCATTTAGAACTCCCCATCGATCGCCATCAAATTCGGCGCTCTCTCTCGAGGTATTGTGATCCCAACCCCGCTTGCAATTTTGTCTAAGATCTGCTCTCTGGAATGATTCTTGATCTACTGCGTTGAAATTAATGAAAGATAGTACCTTTATTGTCTAGGATCAGTAAAGGTGGCATCTTGGTGCGTATTTATTTGTGATTTTGGTCATCTTAGGTTGAATTCGTCTCTATCATGTGGGATTATATGAATTCAGTATAATTTTTTTTACCATTTTTTTGATTTTTTTCGATTTTTTTGCTACTTTTATTCCTGGAGAAGATAATGTAAGCAGAGATTTAGGTAACAAGAAGCCATTTGGAGTATTAGTACACTGGGGCATACATACCCTAATAAATATAAATTAACATCCATTGTTAAGTGATTCCAATTTTTTTTTTCTTTTGGTTTTTCATAACGCAACGAATCGTGTCATCTTCTTACCTAGTAATTTTTGAATAACTCTATATCCATTTGGTGTATGCTCGGGTCATGACTCATGCACATATGTTGTGACTTCAGAATTTGGTAGGTAAGGTTGGTATATTGTAACTGGAAAATTTATGGATTTTAAGATAAATCTACTAATAAACTATGTCTCTGAAGATGATTGTTTCGATGCGGATAATTCTAGTTAATCTTTAGAATTTTAGGTAGGATGCTCATTGTTGTTTGTGGAGACTGATTTATATGGAGAATAAATAGCATTAGGACCCAAAATTTTTGTATTTTCGCTCTACGAACATAAAAATTATGCGTTAAATGAGTATCTTCCGTCCTATACTGTTTCTTTTATCCATAAGAGAGAAAAGTAGAGACTTCGGGGAGGTGAGTTTAGAATTTGAGAGATTGGATATAGTACTTTTGTTGAGTATTACTGGAATCTTGTACTCCAAGAACATATGTAATTACATTGATTGCCACCTCGTTAAATCACAGCAGTGGCTATGCTTGTTTTCTCTTCTTTTTTTCGTTAAGACATGGTTAGGTTTTTGGTTGCATTGCTAACGCTCATAAGGTAAGTGGGTAATCATTATCCTTTAAATATACTCAATCTTTAGCCATTATAGATAAACCAATGTGAGAAGGCAGCACTTCGTTTGTTTAGGAAATAGAGAGGGTGGGTTTCCATTCATTTAAGGAGTATGAATCCAAACAGTTCAAAATGAATCAGATACTCCACTTAAGAAGTTAATTTATACAGCTTGCTCTAATCCATTGATACAACTCAATACGATATTTCCTTTTACTCTCAATTTTGCAGCACATCAACATTCATCATGGCTGCTTTTCCACTGGCAACCGCTGAAGTATGCGATGCAAACTCCCACCTAATCACAAACGGCGAGCTCCGCGCCCTCCATCCAAGCTTCCAGATCTATGGGCGTCGCCAGGTCTTTTCCGGCCCAATCGTCACTCTCAAAGTCTTCGAAGACAACGTCCTTGTTCGTGAGTTCCTTGAAGAGAAAGGCAATGGTAGAGTATTGGTTGTTGACGGCGGTGGAAGCATGAGATGTGCCATATTAGGTGGTAACCCAGTTCAGCAAGCTCAGAACAATGGATGGGCTGGCATAATAATCAACGGATGCATAAGGGATGTTGATGAGATCAATGGATGTGATATTGGGGTTAGAGCTTTGGCATCACACCCGATGAAAGCTAATAAGAAGGGGATTGGTGAAAAGCATGTGCCTGTTAATGTTGCGGGAACAAGGATCTATGATGGTGAGTGGCTTTATGCTGATATGGATGGAATCCTTGTCTCGAGGTCAGAATTAACTGTTTAAGCTTTCCATATTGCAATTGAGCTCGTCTTTGTATTGGTATTTAAAATGAATGATTCTTGTATTTATATGAATAAATATCTGCTTATTACTAGAAAGACATGGGGTCAATAAATGTTAGTTAAAAAGAAAATGCTTCTCTAGATTGCCAACTGTTATAACCATGCTTATTTATCTGGACGAGGGATTGGCTGTATTAATGAAATAATTCTGTTTTTCTGAGAATTTCTGATTTTATTTATGCTGTTTTTGATATCGGATCAAGGATTTGATTCGTCATAATGTTGACTAGTGTGCACCCCGTGCAAAGCACGACCATTAAGCACTGCATTTTGAACTTGCCTCCCTCTAAGTTTTAATACATTTGATTTAATTATTGTATGCTTAAAATTAGAAATCATATCTACTCCTCTATACTTAAAGAATGATCCAAGTTTTAATACATTTGATTTAGAAATCATATTTACTTCTCTATACTTAAAGAAGGATCCAAGTTTTAATACATTTGATTTTATTTTACTGCTTATGATACAGTAAATTACTGTAGTATGAATAGTAATTTGATTTATAGTTTATGATATGGTATTTACTGTAGTATGAACGGTGGTTCTTTGGACTCTCCTTTAAGTATACAGGAGTAGATTGTATAGAATATCTTTACGTAGTGGTATGACCTAAGTTTCTTTAATGGAAGTCAACATTAGGACGTTGGGGTGTAAATTGGAGAGAGATTGATTATGATAGTGATCATTATTGCTAAATGTTATTAGTGATAAGACTGCTAAATTTTCATTAAGTTGGGATTATTATGAAAAAAGTATACCTTGTTAATAATTGTTCATAGTAGTGCTTAGGATTGGTGTACACTTTAATGACTTCGAAGGACAGCCTACCTATATCTAATATAACCTTGTACAATTGTCCTATCTTTAGAAAATTGAGATATGAAAGTAAATAAAAAGGTTAACCTCTGAACTAGTCAAAACAAATGCCAATAATGGTAGTTGGTGAATTGAGTATCTGAGTAAATGGAACCTGTTTAATTGCTATTTGGTCAATAAAGAGATACATAACCTGTATTTACGATTTAGAGAAATGGCCTTATTTTCGATACCTGCTAACTCTGCATCTTAACTTGTTGAATATTTCTTCTCATTGATGAAAGTTTCACTTCAGAACTTACTGATCTTGGTGGAGTGATTACAATAACCATGGACTTTTTGCATATGAGGGTAAGGACATTGGTACATAACAGTGACACCATGTTGCATTGAATCTTTGGTAAGTGATAGTACACTGCATATTTATTATGAGGTTATGTTTCCGGTATTTATACATCAACATACCTGGGAATGACATTTAATTACTACTATAACACACATCATATGTAAGAATTTTATGGAGAAAGTCCATCGAAATTGACATTACATGTAAATAGTTCATAAAATAATTATAATGAATAGAAAAACATAGAGACATGTGTTCCCTACATTTTGCTGCATATCATCTCGCTTTTCTGTGTCCCTTCATATGGTTATGGGGTTATGCGTATTCGATATCTAAACTTAGTAGTACAGTTTATGGAGCATAATACGCACAAGAAATTTCATGTGCCTCTTTTTTCATGATAAAGATTAGGCCTACAGATTATTAGAGAAAAACAAATTGACAATTAACTACGCGGCTCTTCTGTTGTTTCTGTCTACCATAAGCAAAACCCTGAAAAAATAATGGTGGGTCTTCAAGGCACGCTTCATATCCATCAACATTCGAGCACTCCTGAACTTTGTGTGCCAAACTGTGAGTCACCTTGTTGCCTTTGAGTGGAATCCTAGTTAGGGAAAGGCTTTGTACAAGCTCTTTGTACAAGTTGGCTTAAACTCTCGTGTCTAGATAGGAAACACACTATCTAGTGCTTTTCTTTATGAATTCCAAGGCTTCCCTCTACAATCTAGATTCAATACAAAGAATATCTAGTACTGCTAGAATATCTAATGCTGACAGATCTTCAGTTAAATCTAGCTAAAGATTTATTTGTTTATCTTGTCTTCCGTGTTGGAGAGGATAGGAGAAGTTGTGGAAATTAATTTGAGGAACAATTGATGTTCCAATATAAATGTTTGCAAATTAGTCCTCTATTTTGAGAATTGTGTCGCTAAATGTTGATGGGTTTTGGACTTGTTTTAGGAGCATGAAATATTAATGGTATTTATATTAAGTTTTTAAAGTTTTTGACTTGTTAAACTTGTAGAGCAAGTAAACTTCATGTTGCTTTTGATACCTCTACCAGCCCCCGGTGAACTTGAGATTGTTCAGTGAACTCAAAGTCTCAAATGTTCATGAAGCTGGCGAGAGTATTTCAAAACCTCAAACGATGAGATAATAGAGGAGTTGACATCTGCATCCTCCATGGCCTTTTGACTTTGAATTTTGATGGAGTGAAAACAGTAACTTTGCATGTAACCGCGAATAAGAAATTCTATACACTTTTATGATTTTTAAATTCACTAGTATAATGCACGTGCTTTACACATGAACATACTATTTTTTATCTTCAATTTTTTTTTCTTTGAGTGCAAAGTTATAGTGACTTTTTTTAATAATATAAATTCTTAAATTGAATAATTAATAAATCTTTACATTAATAAATAAAGTTGTGTATAAAGAATTACATGAGTAATTTTTACATCTTGGATAATTATTATAATTTAGTCATAATTTAGTTAAATACTTGTAACAAATTAAATAATTATTTAATACTATAATATAATATGATATTTTTATTTATAATTAGATTAAGTATGATAAATTATATGTTATTTATAACTATTCTTATTTATAATATTTATATATAGTATAATTATAGTACTATTATTCACTATAATGTATTAAATAATAGTGTAATTCTAAGTTAAGTTATAATATTAAAATAATTATATTATTTTACTATAAAATATTTGTACAATTTTATTGTATTATTTATTGAATGATCGTATGATTTTCAAGAATATTTAATATTGTGTTATATTATTTATAATAATATTTTATTATAACTTATAAATAGCCATCTAACAATTTAATAACATATTTATAACTAGTGAAGGCATACTTTTTAAGAATATTTGAAAAATGTTATTATAATTTATAAGTACGCTTTTAACAATTTAATAATACATTATTTAATAGGGAAAATTGCATCCAGCCCCCAAAACCGCCCATAATATGCTCTGCCCCCCCCCCCAAGACCTTTTCAACGTTCCTTTTACCCCCAAAACCGCCCCCGATTTTCTTCCAGCCCCCAAAACGAATCCCCAGGCCTAACTCCGTTTAAACCCCGCTCGAAATGCCCAAAATACCCTTACGTTTAAAATTCCCCGTTATGAGTTACCTCCTCGTCCGTACCCTGTCATCTCTCTCTTCTGCAAGCAAACCGACCCCAGAAACCCAATTCAAAACCTTAGCCCTAAATCAACCGACCCCAACGCAAACCGAATCAAAGCAAAGTGATCAAAATGGCGGGCGATTCAACCCCCAAAGCCAACCTCAATGCCGACCACAACGAAAGCGATGACGCCCAGCGGTGCGAAATCTCAGATAGTGCAGTGCGGAATGAATCTGAAGCTCGAGCTGCGATTGGCGATGTTCTAGAGGACATCGCAACCAGCCATTCTCATCCCAGAAGCCGATTGATAATGCTCTTAGTCTGGTGGGAAGGTCCAAAATTACGGTGTCTGTTAGCTGTTGAGGTTACTGTTAACATGCAAGGTCTATGCTTTTATTGCTGAGGTTGTTGTTTATTTGTAGAGGTTAGGCTTTGGTTGTTAAGGTTAGGTTTTGGTTGATAAGGTTGTGGGGTTGTTGTTAAGGTTGTTGGTTACTGCCTTTATTGTTAAGGTTGTTGTTTAGTTGTTGAGGTTAGGCTTTGGTTGTTAAGGTTAGGTTTTTGTTGTTAAGGTTATGTGGTTGCTGTTAAGGTTGTTGGTTTACCCGCAAAGTTTACAGCATAGCTGTTATGTTTACTGATTATACTCAAAAATGCTCTCGTCTTGTGTTTTTGTTTTGTAGAAAAAGGGCAAAGCCAGCTATTACGTTGCGGCCCACCGCCAGCTTCGGTGCCTATCACGACTTCATGCAGAATTTGGTGACGCGTATGGGGCCAAGGCATTTTGCGGCCTACGAAGATAGTGTATTCAGACACTACGTCCAATTTGGCCCACCTGGCGTCGATCTTCCCACCTTTGAGCACATTTTGAGTCAGTGGGACAAGAAGAGCAAAAAATTCGTCTTCACCGATAGGAATGATGGAGAAGAGATCCCATGCTCATTCAACCTTGAGTGGGTAATGGAGCATACATGGTTCTCCAATGAGGGGCTTCATGTTGACCACAATCGGGACAGGAAAAATAGGATTTGGTCCAGGTTCTTTGACAAACCCGAGGCGGGGGGTTCCAGCAGTATAGCTCCCCCCAAAGGAGGCCCCACCAGACGCAATGTGGAGGACCTGCTCTTGAAGCTGGTACTATCTTCTGATCGCCGAGATGTGAAGGACTTTGTCCTGCTACAGATCCTCTATCAGCTGAGCATGATTTGGTGTCCAAGCAGTATTTCCGGCGTTCCTAGGCATTTATTCAAGTACGTCGACAGCATTGAACAGGTCAACAACACTGCTTGGGGGACCTATATATTCAGTGAGACATCTGACGCGATAGAGAGGGCACTGAAGGGTCCTGAGCCAGGGAAGACGACATTATATCTGCAAGGGTGTACCCCTCTAGTTTGTGTAAGTAATCATGTTTTTTTACTGATTGTGAAGGTTACGGTTTGGTTGTTAATATTACGGTTTGGTTGTTAATATTACAGTTTGGTTGTTAAGGTTACGTTTTTATTGTTAGGGTTACTTATTAATTGTTACGGATGAAGGTGTTTGTTAAGTTTTTATTTCTCTAATGTGCAGTTGTGGTATTATGAACTCACCGGCATCAAGAAGCCAGCACTTGGTTGTACGGTGAGGCCTCCCCTGACAAATTGGGTGAGACTTGGGCACGTTGCTGGTTCTTTGAGATTGGCCACTGTTGTTGCGAAAGCAAGCAAAGCTACGATAAAGCTTCCACAGCAACATGGACAACTTCAAAGAATCGAGGGAGGTTTTTGGGGGAAGGAGCAGGGGATAGAGAAAGAGAAGAGGAGAGAGAGAGAGAGAGAAGAGGAGGATTAAGGGTCCGGCTGCAGTAGACGCCGGCAGGGCTCGTGGCCCAAGAGACCTTCTTCACAAGAAGAAGAGGAGAGCAGAAGATGACGACATCCCAATTGATGCACTTGTAAGAACTTAGCAATCGTTGATTTCATTTGTTTTTGAATTAATTATTTAATCCTTTTAATAGTACTCTACCTGTCCGTTGCATATGTGATGCCACAGGCTATTGATGAAGACGCCGAGCAGCCAAATGATGCAGTTGAGCAAATGGATTGGCCTCAGCAAGTTATCTACTGGAAGAGCATCGCGGCAATGAACAAAGCATTACGCCGCCAGAACGAGAATAAATTCAAGGGTATGATTGCTGCAGACCGTGTAAAGATAAGTGCTCTTTCTGTGAAGGTTGCTAAGCTGTCTGCTCAAAATAGAAGACTGAGAGAGGAACTAAGCGAAGCACGATCCGGAACCCTCTCTGTATACAAGGATAAGAGCCCTACAGGATTGGTGTCCAGCCCATTGATGGAGCCGCAAACTTGTACAGGTTAGATGTGGCTTGCAATTACGTTTGCGTGTTATAGTTAAAAATTGATTGATAAGTATATGGATTTATTGTTAAGGTTAAGAATGTATTGTTAACTTTACTGATCTAATGTTAAGGTTAGGGATTTATTGTTAAGGTTAAGAATGTATTGTTAACTTTACGTATCTAATGTTAAGGTCAGGGATTTATTGCCAATGTTAGAGATTGATTGTTAAGTATCTTGGTTAGTTTTAAGGTTATGTAACTGATGCTATGTTTTTTTTGACAATGAAGTACCGAAGCTCATTTGTGTTTATTTTTTGAATCAGACACTCCAGGCACCGTGGGTGGCATTGATGTACAGTACGATGGGGATGTCAATAAATCATTATTATTTGATGAAGCTAATAAGGAGAGCGAGGCCCCTCCAACAGGGAGGGCCTCTCCACAAATGTACAGTACGAGGGGGATGTCAATAAATCATTATTATTTGATGAAGCTAATAAGGAGAGCGAGGCCCCTCCAACAGGGAGGGCCTCTCCACAACCATTGTTTTTTGATATCCACAAGGAGAGTGAAGATGCTCCGCCAGAAGAATTACCTCCACCAGAGGCATCTGCTGTTGACAAGGCCCTTGAGGCAGAAATAAACGAGGGAGAGAAGGTGTCCCCCCCAGCGAAGGAGCTACTAACTTGTACAGGTTAGCTTGCTTTTGTACTATATGTTAGAGATTGGTTGTTATGTCTACGTATTGGTTGTTAAGCTTTTTATTGTTTATACTCTGAATCCTTCGAGCGCGTCCTCAGCAACACCAAATTCTCTCTCCCCCCAAAAAGCTCGAATCCGATTCTCATGCCCTAAATTGCCCCCAAGCTATGTTTTCTTAATATTTATACTTCGAATGGGTTGTTTGGAATCAGACACTCTGCGGGAGGACACTGGGATGGAAATAAAGCAATCAGAGAATGCCCGTCCACCAGCAGCAGAGACATCAACTGATGACGAAGATGCTCCTATTGTGTTTTCAAAGGCTTTGAATAAGAGAAAGAGGGGTGCAACGGGGGCACGCGGGAAGATGGCCGCTGATGCACCCCCTAAACGGAAGAGATGCAAAAGATCGGTGAAGCCTTCCAAGTGGGTAGTCACCCCTTACACTGAAGGGAAGAAGAAGAAAGAAAAAGACAACATAGGGGACAAGGCTATAATAGAAGTGGGTGGGGAGGAGGAAGCGCAGGTGCAGGAAAACAATGCAGAGTTGGCTCCTGCTCGGCTACAAAGTGACCCCCACTCTATCTGGGAAAAACACATGAGTTCCCCTATGAGTTCAGCAGAAGAAATGTACAGAGATAAGCTGAACGAGGGGATTCCCTTTCCAGATGGCTTCATCATCAAGTTTGTGGGCGACAAGGACACATTTGTACATAACTATAAGGTGTCAGCAGATGTTGCCCCGCTACTGACGGAAGAGGAGCAAAAAGCTCTTAACCATTTTTGCATTTGTAGATGTAACAAGTAAGTATTTACCTCACATCTCAAGTATTAACGTTTGTTGTTTAGTTTGCGGGTTTGTTGTTATGGTTTCGGGTTTTTTTGTTATGGTTATTGATTTGTTGTTTAGGTTAAGGGTTTTTTTGTTATAGTTATTGATTTGTTGTTAAGGTTACGTGGTAGTTGTTAAGGATACGTGTTTGATGTTAAGGTTACGTGTTTGTTGTTATGGTTAAGGGTTTTTTTGTTATGGTTATTGATTTGTTGTTTAGGTTAAGGGTTTTTCGTTATAGCTATTGAATTGTTGTTAAGGTTGCGTGATAGTTGTAAAGGATACAGGTTTGATGTTAAGGTTACTGGTTTTCTTGTTATGGTTACGGGTTTTTTTGTTATGGTTATTGATTTGTTGTTTATGTTAAGGGTTTTTTGTTATAGTTATTGAATTGTTGTTTAAGTTGCGTGGTAGTTGTTAAGGATTCGGGTTTGTTGTTATGATCACGGGTTTTCTTGTTGTGGTTATTGATTTGTTGTTTAGTTTTAAGGGTTTTTCGTTACAGCTATTAAATTGTTGTTAAGGTTACGTGATAGTTGCTAAGGATACGGGTTTGATGTTAAGGTTACTGGTTTGATGTTATGGTTACAGGTTCTTTGTTATGATTATTGATTTGTTGTTTAGGTTAAGGGTTTTTCGTTATAGTTATTGATTTGTTCTTGCTGCTAATTGTTAGTTGCTAACTATAATTTTTGTTTTTTCCCTGTTTGCAGTTTTATTAAAGCGTACGAGGGATCAGCAGGGTCTATTACCCGGCTTGAGATCCTCAATATATTACGCGGTGGGCGACTGGATGATTCAGTAAGATTTTCGATTGGTATTTATTCATTAGCATATTTAACAATACTATTATTAATTACTTGTTGCCAACTTATGATAGCTTGTTGATACGCTGCTTGATTTAGTTCGTGAAAATCAGAGAGCATCGTCCAGTATAAAATTCGGCGTAGTCCCTGTTTGGTTTAGTGTAAGTTTATGTCTGGCGTGGCGTACTCCTAACTATCAGCACATAATCTATGTTAAAAGGAACCTGATCGGGTTAATTCTTTATTGCAGCACCAGATACATGTGCTGAAACCAGATTACCAAGAGCTGCATGATATCTACATCAAACGCTTGGTCGATGAAGGGTGTACTAACCTCTTAGTTCCCATTGTCCAGGGCGATCATTGGCATCTTCTGGAGTTTGATGTCGAAAATGATATTGCCAGGCATTACGACTCCTTGAAGGAGAGATCTGGACATTGGGACCTTGTGCTCGATATCGTCAAAGCTTTCAACTACATTAAAGCTGGCTTCAATGAGAACTAATTGCGCAGCGTATTCGACCCAATCAAAGTTCCATGCGAGGAGCAAAAGGGATCGTAAGTTTGCCGGAACCCTTGTTGGAATTCATTGTTGGAAACTGGTTGTTAAGGTTACGAATTTGTTGTTATGTTTTGATTGAAAGCAACAATGGTCTCAATGCTTCCTTGTTTTTGTGTGCAGGTATGACTGTGGGATCTATGTCTACCAGTTCGTACAAGCGATTACCGAAGGTAGAGATGTCCTGCACGTCACGCCCGAAGAGCATAACACATGGGTGGTTCGTGCGAAGCTAGCAGCGTACTTACTGATTGAAGGCAGGAAGAGGAAAAAAGAGGTGGGAAAACTTGACGATGATGACGTTGAGATGTAGATTTTTTGTAAATGATATATTACATTTCTTTGGTGTTACTAACAATATACATGTAAATATTAAAAGGTAAATATAAACAATATAAGGTTGATCTGTGAATGATATATTACAATTCTTTGTTGTTAATAGCAATGTACAAGTAACTATTATAAGGTTGATATCAAGGGATAACATTAACAGCAAACCCATGAGTTCAACAACAAAACCGTAACCTCAACAACAAACAGCAAAGCTTAACAACATCGCAAGATTCTGCTAACTTGTGCTTCAAATGCAACCAAACAAAATTCGAAAAGATTTCTGTAAATGATATATTACAATTCTTTGTTGTTAATAGCAATATACACATAACTATTATAAGGTTGATATCAAGGGATAACATTAACAACAAACCCATGGATAACATTAACAACAAACCCATGAGTTCAACAACAAAACCGTAACCTCAACAACAAACAACAAAGCTTAACAACATCGCAAGATTCTGCTAACTTGTGCTTCAAATGCAACCAAACAAAATTCGAAAAGATTTCCGTAAATGATATATTACAATTCTTTGTTGTTAATAGCAATATACACGTAACTATTATAAGGTTGATATCAAGGGATAACATTAACAACAAACCCATGAGTTCAACAACAAAACCGTAACCTCAACAACAAACAGCAAAGCTTAACAACATCGCAAGATTCTGCTAACTTGTGCTTCAAATGCAACCAAACAAAATTCGAAAAGATTTCCGTAAATGATATATTACAATTCTTTGTTGTTAATAGCAATATACACGTAACTATTATAAGGTTGATATCAAGGGATAACATTAACAACAAACACATGAGTTCAACAACAAAACCGTAACCTCAACAACAAACAGCAAAGCTTAACAACATCGCAAGATTCTGCTAACTTGTGCTTCAAATGCAACCAAACAAAATTCGAAAAGATTTCCGTAAATGATATATTACAATTCTTTGTTGTTAATAGCAATATACATGTAACTATTATAAGGTTGATATCAAGGGATAACATTAACAACAAACCCATGAGTTCAACAACAAAACCGTAACCTCAACAACAAACAGCAAAGCTTAACAACATCACAAGATTCTGCTAACTTGTGCTTCAAATGCAACCAAACAAAATTCGATATGCTAGATCCCCAAGGGATAACAAAAACAACAAACCCATGAGTGAAATAACAAAACCGTAAACTCATCAACAAACACAAAAGCTTAACAACACACTACATTAGCAGAATCATATTAATATGTAGTTAACAGAGCGTATCATCATCAAGTTCAGCAAAACATTTGGTAATTTATAATTAATGATAACCTAGGGGCCGACTGCTCCTCCCCCGCTCCCCTTGCTCGAAGCGCGATCGTGGTAGGAACCCCTATCGCGAGGAAGGGTAGACGGCCCAACACCTTGGGCCCGGAGAAATCGTTGCCAGAGCTCTTTCTCCACCGTCATTTGCCTGCCGTCCCAAGACACTTCAATCAATTCCGGGTCGGCGCGGGAAGGCTGCGGTTGCTGGCTTTGAGGTTGGTCAACGGACATGTCGATGTGACCTTGCTCATTGTTTGCCTGCTGCTCACGGTCTCCACTTACAAGCTGAGTGACGACGAAACATTCCATCAAACGAAGGTCCATGGGAGAGGTGTAACGAAACCTAATCCTCTTAGGGATATCCGAATATTCCCTAATCTCTAGCAGCACCCTGCAGTCTCTGAAGTTTGTCTTCGTGGTGACGTCAGCGGAGCAGTACACGCATTGGCCGATGCCCTCGAACAGTGATTGGAGGAACTCCCACTCCCAGAGGTGGTAGGGGAGATTGAAGAGGCGGACCCATCTAAACATGGGGTACGACAATGCTCTTAGCCTGAGGTGTCACGCCCCGTTTCCCAAAATACAGGGGAATCGGGACGTGAACAAGCCCGCGACGTATTAGATTGAGAAGAAATATACACTATCTTTTTTTTTCTCTTTCTTTTCTTCTCAATCCAATACGCTAAGCGTCTAGAAACAAATAAGTTCAATGCGAAGTCACAGGTCCCCGATCACAATCAGCAAGAATATAATAGACAAACTCAGAATAAAATAATACATATCATAAAGCAGATCATCCCAGATATAAAAATACGGGTCAAACATGCCCTTATACAAATCTGAACAAATGAATACTGAAGAGATACAAAATACACCGATCAGGCAGGAATGGAAAGAACTACAAAAGTAAAGTGGAATCATCAAAGAATAGACTTCGACTCCTTCTTCTGCTCCGTCCTCCTAATGATCTCCCGGCTGAACCTGTTCTTCCTCTAAGTCTGACGTACACCAGAGAAAACAGGTGTACGTCAGGTGCATGGCGCACAGCAAGACCCGACCCCACAAAGAAAAATAACGAACTAACGGAAACCAAAACAGAAATCGATACAATAATAGAAATGATAAAAGGACGTACAACTGAGAATCCAACAAAATCAACATGAAATCCACTACCAAAACATGAAAATCATAAGAATCCGTAAATCAACCGGGTTACGAAATCATGCAGCTAGCGATCAAAATAATCATCCAAGTAACATGTTCATACACTAGATGAAATTAATACTTAAAAATCTACAACTCGAGACATAGTACGTCGAGCGAAATAATCCAAACAAGGAAACCCTCATGTATATACCATATGTCTCAAATTATAGATAATTAAATATTAAACCCGATCTAGGTATGAAAAGGAGTACAACCGGCCTACATCTCACAAGAATCATACTTAGCCAAGAATCGAGGTCATGTAACTAACTATCCCATCACTTATCTTAAATAATCAACAATCTCAATATCACTGCTCCTCAGACCCACCCCGGTGACTACACAAAAAGTATTGGCCCTCTGGCCCATGTACATAACACTCACGATATCACGATAACAAGAAAGCGCTGTGCCCGTTTATATACATGCTATATTCTCCGTCCAATCCCCCTTTATAACCCCATGTTTGTCATATTAATTACGCAACTGTACATGAAATATTATGCACTAGCCACGGAATTAACGTGGAACGACTTCTGTAAAACTATGAACATAACCGTGACCCACAACACGTCCGATCAAGAGTGCATCGTCTAGTCAATGCTATAATAATAATAATCAAGGAAATCTCATACCGGGATATCGATATCGAGGGAACTCGGGACTCCTCACATCAGGATATTGATGTCGAGCGAGTATAGCCATGCTTTGAAGCACGCTTATAAATCATACTTTTAACAGAAGTCGTCTTC